AGGGACAGGTGACAAGGAGGGACAGGTGACAAGGAGGGACAGGTGACAAGGAGGGACAGGTGACAAGGAGGGGCAGGTAACAAGGAGGGACAAGTGACGAGGAGGGACAGGGACAAAATGCGAATTATCGAGGTTCTTTTGAACTTTTGAGCTTATTTGAAAATTTGAGCTTATTTCAAAACTATTATTATCTATTAACCCCTAGTTTTGGATATGAACGAGAATCTACGCTGCAAAAAATTCACATGCAATGAATGGGGAATCAAGTTCGTGCAGGACAATTCAATCAAATATCTGCGTGATACAACTCGAAACATCCTTGAAATTATGACAAGAAAACCTTTTCATTTTTAGTTCTCACACCCCAATGCAAAGAACGTATGTTCCGATTACTCGTCGTGGCAGCGTCCGTAGATTTTCAGTTCCAGCGTAGAATTTTCAGTTGAAGATTATGCCGATGATGATTGGTTTGAAATAAGTTAGTTAGTTAGTTTAGTGGCCCTATGATTACTAGCGCTTCAGCTGCTAAGCTATCTCGCGCCGAATGTCACGTTGGGCATTATGGGCTAAGAACATATTGCATCACATGTATTCAGCGTTGATCAGATCNTGCCACGCATGACTATTGAAGCTAGCGGGTCGGGTCTAGGTCCCCGCCAGGGTTCGTCAATCCAGCGAAAGGTCTTTGCGTATCCGTAAGAGAGCCAGGTCGTTACCAGAAGGGCGTTTTGCCATCTCTGTTAGTCTGGACTCTCCACCCGAGCCACTCGGCCATGATTGCATCTGAGACCGCACAGCCTCGGGTCTCATTGAGACACGCAAGCCCCCCCCCCCCACGACAAGGGCGAGATGGCACGGGGGGGTGGTTTGAAATAATGATTATGCAAAAATGCAAAAACAGTAGTAGTCTTGGACGATCGTTCGATGCTTGATGAAAATAGCACGTCACTGACTTCCATGCTGACTTCATGTCATTGTGCCCGTAAAGGACAAATTCAATTAATATACGTAAACAATGGAACGAAATCAACGTCTGCTACGTCCCATTGTATTCAGAGTGCAATTTACAGATACAATAATAGTGGGCATGTAAAATAGCTTGAAAATTGTATATCCACATACAATATTTCATTATATGTATACATATTTGGTGCGAATATTAGTAGGTATGGTTAAGCAGAAGTTAATTTTCATGCATTTTTTTTCACACTGGTTCGTTTTTCTCAAATTGGCGGGATAAGAATTTTTTCAGAATTTGAAAGTTCGAATATGAGGTTTCCAAATCTTCCCAGCGAAAACCAAGACAATTTCTACTCGCATACGTATGAACACCACATCTACCAAACAATATTAAGTGAAAAAATTTTCAAACAAGAACATATCCGACAGTGTTATGGAGTCGAAAATATTATGCAAATACGTGATTGTGTAAGTGATCAAGAAAGTAGATTGCGGCACCTGTATTAGGTTTATTGTTTATCAATTGAATCGAGGGATAATAAGGCACTCATAACTAACACGAGTTACAACCCAAGCTCATTATGTCGAACTCGAACTGAATAAGGATAAAAAATTTTTATGAATTAACACAGAACACGATGGGCACAAAAAATTTTTTATCATAGTAAAAATCCTATACTACCGAGGAATTAAAGTGAAAATTTCTTCGCATCCTTGACAACAAATCATTTTACATTGAGAGGGCTGGCTGTCTGTGGCTGAGCGAAAATTAGAGAAAATAGCGAACGAACTGTTGAGAAAACAGCGAACGAAGTTTGGGGATGATTCGTTTAGCAGCAGTAGCTTTCGCTCACGTCATTGAGTGCCGGAGTTACTGCACGCGCGCTCGATGGGAGGAGCGCGGCTACCGACATCAAACGCCACCAGTCTGTTCGCATCTTGCAAGTCCACATCTTCAACTCAATCTTCCTTCAACTCAATCTTCCTTCAACTCAATCTTCCTTCAACTCAATCTTCCTTCAACTCAATCTTCCTTCAATTCAATCTCCCTTCAATTCAATCTCCCTTCAATTCAATCTTCCTTCAACTCAATCTTCCTTCAACTCGATCTCCCTTAGATCTGTTTGTCCTGCGGCTGGCAACGCTTCGGGAAAATATAACGTTAGTTTGAATGGCGCTTTTTCATAGATAAAAATATACGATTTTTCAAGCGAGGCTAATCATAAGATATAACTGGAAATAAAAAAAACTTGAATTGGTGCTCATTCATTTCCTATTGCAGCTATCTATGTATAGTAGCTGCCTTTCGAAATTAAAAAAAAAATCAAGGGAAAGAAAATTATGATCCTAAACAATACGCTATAAAAATAACTATATCTCGACTATTACATCAAAATTTAAGTTAGAATTTATATAAATTTCAGACCTCTTTTGATTCACTGAAATTACTTGAACGACAGCTCTCCAAAAATAACACGGAGGCCGACAACAAGCAGTCAGCACCATGTCTGAATTTAGTTGAGTGCATCCAATTCGGTGAAAGTATGTATAAAAAAAATTTCAACTAGCAATAATCGCACCTCGGACGAATCCTCATTGGTTACGATACTGCCTGTGCGCAAAGCTAAGTATTTATAAGTTGCCTCTGTATTTCGTATTAAGCAATTACAGGATCTCCCATCAAAACAATCAGCAACGGACCAAATCATCATGTTTGAATAAATAAACAATCTGTCATTGTTAGGGTTTTAATTGAAGACATTTTTTTGAAATTTTAGGTTTAGAGACGATCTTACTGTTCACGTCAGCACTCTAGGAACGCTGCGCTAGTTATTGTTTGGTGCGGAGACGTGACGGAGGTACGTGTCTTGTACTAGTGAAGAATTTTAAGTGTAACTATCGTGTATATATTTACTTAGCATGTGTTCATATGATCTCTCTTGTAAATATGTATCATTCGTAGGAACCTTGTTATTTTTAGCATTTTATTGATTAGTTTTTTGTTTGCTTTCAGGAAAGTTTAGGGCTAGAACTTGAAACATTAAATAAGGAATACAAGTGGAGTTTGAATTCCCTTGGAATACGAACATGGGGTGGATTGGAATTACGATCATGAGCCGCATTTAACGCTGATGCTTGGGCCTAGTTGGCTTTCAGAGTGAGCCCACAGAATCATGGAAATAGTACAGACCAAATGTTTCTCACCACGGTCGGGGCGACAGAGTCTCAGTGAGCAACGCGGCGTTACCACCGTTTATTAACGGAGGCGCTTGTTAAGAACTACACCAACAAAATCTTTGCTCGGTCTTCCTCAATTGATGAGAATTTTGCCTGGATTAAGACTACGTAACGTTATTTAAATCACCATCAACGTGATCACTGGCCAGTAAATAGAAAATCACAGACTCGTACAAAGCAGCGAATTACTAAGCAATAACTTAGAATTAACAGTAATTATATAAATGCTCGAGGATACAAACATAGTAAGTCTATCTAGCAGCTCTCTCGTTGTATAGTATTTCTTGTAATTATTTATCGTCCAAGTAGCACCAAAGTCTTACAGTAAACGTCACCTAAAATAAAACGGTTGATTAAACCTGCCCTAAAACGCAGTCCCAAAAAATCTGCCGAAATAAATTTGACGTTGTCAGACTAAGAATTACATTTTATACATTTTTATTTATCATAATATTCTGCCCATGCAAAATATATTTGCTTATTTGTGACTAACTAATCAAGTTATGTATATTGATCACAAATTTTATAAATATTAGGGTTTCAGACCTAGGGTTAGAAATTATGGTGACTAGTCTATGAATAATAGGATAAAAATTTAATATAAATAAAATAATAAATTAAGGTAAAAACATCATCAGCAAGACAATTCACAACCACGATAAAGCCATACATCAAATGCAAGCCTGATGCACCAAATTTACAACGGTATAAGTTTCACGGCAATCATAAATTTTATTCTTTTTTAAATTTATTTATTTATTTTTTAAATTTAATATCGACAAAATTATATCAAAGCAAAGAGTGATTATTTGATGGATAGAATACATGACTTCAAAGAAAATAAATATACAGAATGTTACGATTATCGTATGGGTGCAGTAAACATTAAAAGTGGTGAGCAATATTTTTATAACAGCATTAGGAACAAAAATAATGGAAAACTAATACATATTCATTCGATTAATTTTCATTGCTCAATCATGTTTTGGTACAAATATAAACAAAAATAATAATAAACTCGGGAGCATGTACTAAGTCATTAATATGGCAATGTATGAGAACAATATAATTCCGTTCCTATTCGTATCTGAAACCTGCCACAGTTAGGAGAAGCTGGAATAAATTCAAGACAAGCTTCCAGCATAGAAAAGAACATCGCGATCGATTAAATTGTTGTGAAATTTCTTAGTTAAATGAGAAAAATCACAAATTGTTCAGGTACAATAGATAATGAACAATGGAATGTTGTCATTAACGGGCAGCTAAAATAGTTTAGCCAGTGACGGCGAATAGAATATTCCATATTGAAAATCTTTCTTTTCACCACGCAAATGCACCAGATAAATTTCTTAAAAACTACACACTTCAGTGACACGACAGCAAATTTATCAACAAAATCATAACAATCAATCAGAAATGAACAAGGTCATAAAATCAACATTCACACTACGGGTCACGGTGGCCTGAAATCCCTGAATTACGGATTTTCAAGGCGGGCATAAGCATTTAAAGCGCTGGTGCTGAACAACACCATAAGCAGACCTCAGAATCAATATTTAATCGAGAGCGTTAAGCTAACGTCATAAACATAAGATGCAAGGAATGTCACGACTACCAACCGAGAGGATAGATTGGTATGAAAATTTATTCTAAACTTTTTGAGGGTTAATCGGAAACGTACAGCAAATCCAGAATGCGTAGGAATACTTCGTAGGAAGTGAAGAACCAATGAAATCAGTGATCAATAGCAGGCTGTAACACAAATTGTAGTTTGGAGGGGAGATTGAAGTACAATAAGGGCGGCACGGCAGTGGACCACGGCCCCCACATCAGAGGCTGTAGCTGTAGCAGAAGTTATAGTTGGAAGGCAAGGGCGGCACGGCAGTGGCCCACGGCCCTCACATCAGAGGCTGTAGCAGAAGTTGTAGTTGGAAGGCAAGGGCGGCACGGCAGTGGCCCACGGCCCCCACATCAGAGGCTGTAGCAGAAGTTGTAATTGGAAGGCAAGGGCGACACGGCAGTGGCCCACGGCCCTCACATCAGAGGCTGTAGCAGAAGTTGTAGTTGGACGGCAAGGGCGGCACGGCAGTGGCCCACGGCCCCCACATCAGAGGCTGTAGCAGAAGTTGTAGTTGGACGGCAAGGGCGGCACGACAAGAGGACACGTCGGGATGGTGACCCCGTCAAGGTCCAGCAGCTGCAGTTTTAGTTCAATGTTCAGTAGCATGTCGATTTCGGTCTTAGCTGATTTCGAGTCCATTTTCCCGAGTTTCCCCTCTGAAATGATACCACGTTTATTTTGAACGCACGTCTAAAACTCATTTCATCAATACGCCAGTTATAAAAGATACAAAAATTTCTACCATAAATTATGACACAACACTGAACTAACAATCATTATTATAACAAATTAAAGAAAAAACAATGTCACCACACTCACTGGCGAGGATTTTGATGCCGTCGACCCAGGCTTGATAGGTTTTTTGGTCGGTCGCGATGATGTCGACAGTTTCGAGGCAGCCTGGCTTGTTGCTGTCCGTGGCCAGACTGAAGTAATACTCGTCTCTGCAGCGACGTCTGCGAGCAATCATGGAAGCTTTAATTGTTTTTTATATATGAAAGCTAAAATAAAGGGTAAGTGAACTCAAGGAGTTTTTGGTTTACCGTTCAGCTCGAAACTTTGGTCTTATTGAATGCTAGAAGTCGCAGCTTAATGATCATGAGAAGTTAAAAATGGGAAGCTAAATTTTTATAAACTTATAGAAGAAAACAGCAAAATTTGTAAAGTGAAGCTAACCTAATTTTCGCCCATGATTCAAAATGACAGAACAGGCAGTAAGAATGCTGGTTCGAAGATGACGCGTTTTGAATACAACTATCAATAATTAAAAGGATTCAAAGGCATAGTTCAAAAACTGACGGGTTAAAGTGAGCGCAATCCTTGCCAAGCGTCAAAGACTTGATCTCAGCAACGTTGATTTTCTGAAGTTTATCGAGTGGAGGAATTTCGGTGACTTTCTCATCGACTTCTCCGTAGTGCAGGAACTTGTGGTTAACGGACAAGATGAGGTAGCAAGGCTTGTCCTTGTTGCCGCGCCCCTTGGCCGGACAGCGGAAACGGCAACCGCGCTCCATCATTTTCAGGCGCTGCAGGCGCACCAACTCCGTAGCTTCTCGCTCCAGCTCCTTGCGCAGCTCACTGCCATTGAAGTGAGAGAAAATTAATTATAAAGCTCACCTATAAGCGAACATTTGCCAAGAAGTGATGACTCCACAAAAGCACAACACTCTGCTTATATAACGGTAACTCTGGAAAATTGAAATAAGTTAGCTTAATAACAGCATTATCCAGGAATATTTATAGTGTGCCATATAATACTCAACAAACCAAAAATATTAGCACCTACGAAGCAACTAGAATTATTTCTTTGTACCATCCTTACTAAAGTTCGTCCATAATGTAAAAATTGGGAAAAATTAGAAAAGCTATACTGCTCCTCGAATCTCTGTATTTTTTGAATGCGTAAATTTCCGGTAGAAATTAACGAAGAAAGAATTCATTTATAAAATTTAATACTACTTGTTCCACATTTGCTTCTAATAGTGCTACATCTTACATTATTTGTGGGGCTTTCATCTCCTCTTCTTCGAAGAGCTCCCGTTTCTTCTGCCAATGTTCAATGATGTCTTTGTATGTGTGCTTCTTCAAGCCGTCTTCGAATTTACCCAAGTTCAAGGGTTTTAGCTGAAGTACCCGCAATATTTGCGCCCTAACAACACGCATCACCTTGCTGAAGGAAAATGTGTTAAATTAACAATTAATTATTTGATTCTAGACCGTCAACAGTAAAGCCAAACAACATTTTCCTAAATTTCATCTTTTGAGGATGCATTCCAGACACAAGTCACAGAAAATAGCTTTTCCTAATATTCTTAGAACCGAAATTCGTCACATGAAGACATAATAAAACAATAATATTCTTTCCAGCTTAATTTCGTAGAAGCATTGAAACGTTTTGTTCATTCATTTGTCAACTGAATGTATTCATATATTTATCAACCACAGAGCCAAGTTAAATACAGTTATTGGACTTAACATTTTAACATCAACATTTCTTTTCGAAAACATAAGTGAGAATTAAAAAATGTAGGAGTTAGTTTGGCAACAATTTCAAGATCATCTTAATGATTTCACATTTATTATTAACTCAAGTAATCCTCACAAACTCAACACTAACTCCAAATTGCCCTCAAGGAAACAAATATCGGAATTTGATCCCTTAACTATGCTAATATTAATTATATTAGTACTAAGAGTAACTGTTGCTAACAGTAAGTGACTCCACAGCATATCACAATGCAACCCAAAAACAGAAACAAACTAAGGACCAACGACACTTCTTGAAATTTTCTTTGCAAATACAGTATAATCAAAGTTTATATACGTGAAATCTTCGGCGGTGGCTTTCATTTCCTTCCAAGTTTTATCGAGGATGTTGATGCAGATGCAGAAAATCTCCTCAAAAGGATAGTCGTGCGAGAAGAAAATCGGGTGCAGGTCCGTACAATCCTCAACCACGGGCTCCCCAACCTGGCGGAAATCAACGCGTTCGTTAAGAAAGAAAATCTGGAGAATAATATAATACAACGTGTATATTGTACATAGTTTGTGAACAATTATAAAGATGATATGAATGCCTTACTATCGAAATATACATGCCTAAAGGTAAATAGTAAATTTTTTTATTGGAAAATAGAGTGAATCAAAATGGCAATGCATATAAAACTCAATTTTTTGGCAGGTCCTCTACTATTAAGTTTAGTGTTATAATTTCTCGTGTTCTCGCCTTGAAGACGACAGCGAGCAGCTTGGTGAGCTCGATGGAGGCGCGGCCGATTGGACACTCGAGCGAGTCTGCGCGGTAGCAGTTCTCCAGCACCAGCTTCTCGTACCTGTAAAGAGCGCGAAAAATGAAACTAATATTTACAGGTTTATAAATTTTTGATTGGTACTGAATTCTGATATATAACTTTTCCCATAAAAATACTATTTACGGGTAAACCCTTTGCCTCATAACATTTCAGGTACAATGTCGTCTTCTTTAAATTGTCCTTTTTCTTTGCTCTTGACCATAATCTTACTTTTCTCGATACGTAATGCGCTCTCCCACAAGTTCTGTTGTAGCAGACGTTGCAGCAATCTCTTCGTAGAATAACAATACACTTAACATGGATACGCCGCGACAATACCAACAAGGACTGTACGAGTTCTATATGCGTTACCAAGGATGTAACGGAATTGGGCCTCAGGTGTCTGCCCCTCTCTATGCGTTACCAAGGACATAATGGCATTGGGCCACAGGCGTCTGCTCCTCTCTATGCGTTACCAAGGATGTAATGGAATTGGGCCTCAGGCGTCTGCCCCTCTCTATGCGTTACCAAGGATGTAACGGAATTGGGCCTCAGGTGTCTGCCACTCTCTATGCGTTACCAAGGACATAATGGCATTAGGCCTCAGGCGTCTGTCCCTCTCTATGCGTTACCAAGGACGTAACAGCATTGGGCCTCAGGCGTCTGCTCCTGTCTCTGCGTTACCAATGACGTAACAGCATTGGGCCTCCGGTGTCTGCCACTCTCTATGCGTTACCAAGGACGTAACGGCATTGGGCCTCAGGCGTCTGCTCCTCTCTATGCGTTATATACCAAGGATGTAATGGAATTGGGCCTCCGGTGTCTGCCACTCTCTATGCGTTACCAAGGACGTAACGGCATTGGGCCTCAGGCGTCTGCTCCTCTCTCTGCGTTACCAACGACGTAACAGCATTGGGCCTCCGGTGTCTGCCACTCTCTATGCGTTACCAAGGACGTAACGGCATTGGGCCTCCGGTGTCTGCCACTCTCTATGCGTTACCAGGGACGTAACGGCAATAGGCCTCAGGTTTCTGCACCACACACGCGTCTTGGAGGTCTCAAACCTGCATTGTTGGTCGCACTTTTGGCCAGCGCCACGGGTTGGGATGAACGAATCATACCCACCCACCGGTACCATATGCACCGGAGCGCGAGCTTTCTACCTTACCTCCTTCTGATAGATCTTGTCCCTTCTCTACTGCTTCTCCACCTCCAATTTCTCTAAGGATCCTGGAAAACCGGTCATTCCTAACCCTTCCTTTTCTCATCGCTCGTCACATCTACTCCAAGAAAGTCTCCTTGAGCTACTCCCTTTCTAGCCTTCCTCCATTTCTAGTTCGACCGCCTTACCCTTCATCCAAAATCCAACAATCCTTCCAAGTCCGAAAATTTTGCTCAGGAGATGCACAATGCATCAGAAAAATTGAATTATGTGACATTTCTTGAGCATTACCTCAGCCGTCCATACTAATGTGTATTAAAGCCGGCACCACAAACAACTATAACAACGTAAAGTTCAACCCACAGCCTCATTACGGACTAGTGACAGTTTATAAGTGTGTCATCACCGAAGAATGTCAATAGTTATCCTATGTCAGTAAGATTTGCAGTTTTTCAAGAATGAATTCATTGATAAGAGAAGATAAATCGAATAATATTCGCGCAACATCAGTAGCCGCACTCACTCGTCCTTGCGTTTGGTGCAGAAGTAATGGATGCAGTCGAGGGCGAGGCAGCCTGGCGGTACTTCGTTGAATTCATTCAAAGGATTTTCAGTTGCAAATCCCAATTTATTGAATATTGATTTTTTTCCCTTTAAGCCGCTTACGCCATTAATCTGAAATTCAAGTTCACGAGATGAGCAAACTAATTCTTCAAATTGGATCAATTATATTTATTAAATGCTACTGCCTCCATAAGGTAAGATTACAGAATTTGAATGTGATAACAATTGAATTATTTCAAATTTTCAGGATTACTAAATGAACACGGTCAATAGAATTAAATTCGCAGTGGAAAACCACAAAAAATCTCCTTGAAAGCTCCCGTTTAATGAATGTGGATACAAAAGAACACATGCAATAAACTAATCAAAAACTTGAATGACGATTAAGTACGATCATAACCATTTACAAAACCTAGACTAATGGGATTTTCTCAATTCAAATATACTTCCATAAAATTATTAAATCCAGTGAGTAGGTGCCATGCAGTATCATATCAAAAGCCAACTCTTTGATTCTGTAAAAATGTATTGAAACTAATTTCAAATGCCTGAATATTCAGATAACGGCTTCGAACATGGAAGTTGTTGAATAAATATATAATCCTATATTTTTATGTAAACAAGTACGCATCCACTTTCAACTTTGGATTATGGTATGCTTTTTGTGCGATAAAGCTGAACACATGTGACAAAAAGTTCCTCTTTAATAATTTATTACATAATTTTTTATATATCTCTAGAACTGCTACTCCGTTTAACATTGAAACTTACATCGTTACGTTACAAATATCCTAGCATTCACTCCCACTACCTAACAAAATTCGGGTAACAACTATACTTCTGCCACACTCATACGTACTCTCAACACTTAGCAAAAAGGTTATTCTTGGTCAGCTTAGCCACCCAATCGAAATCAGCTTCCTGTCACAAACTTCATTTCGGACTTTATAGTCGCATGAAAGTTTGAGAAGCGCGGACGAAGTCGAGTCATGCCTTTCTGGCAAGCTGCTTAGAAGCCTAAGGGTACGCACACAGTGAAAGCAGGTTGCCAGTGTGCTGGTTACCTGCTCAGGCTGGCGCCTGAAACCATAGAATACAGAAGCCTATTCGTACAGGTTTTCACTGTGAACACTTACATTATTATCCTATGTTCATTCTTGTGGCAGGTTGGAGCAGGTTGCCTGCGCGGGCAAACCTGCTTCCACTGTGTGCGTACCCTAAAGCCAGACCTAGGAGGCACATGTTGCAGCTTGGGTCTAGCATCCTAAATTTTTTAGGACCAAACACCTCACCTTGCCATCAGCTTCAGAGGCAACATTACAAAACTCGCGGACTTTCTCGGGCGCGTTGGTATCGTCGAGCAGCACGCCCCTCAGGAGCTTGTGGCGCTGCAGGTTCAGCATGAGGTGCTGCAGCTGCTGCATCAGGCAGCACACGTCGTACTCGTAGCGCTGCTGCTTCTTTTCGTTCTCAGTAGACTTGTCTGAAGTCTGCTGGAATTTGTTTGTTAATGGTCCGAAAACCACTAATAATGGGTTGTTACTCTGAAATTTGTTTAGTAAAGTTATTAGTAAAATATAGTAATCTTAGAAGAATAAATATTCACTTGACAATAAATATTTACTTGACACTTGACAACATTGAAGCATTCAGTATCTATATTCTGTAATATAACAAGAGCAAAAAGACACCTTGTAATATGAAAGCAAAAATTCGACAAGAAGACCGTTTGGTCTCGTGAATGCTTACAATTTGACGATTATTAATTTAATTGTGTTGCACCATCACATAATACAAGCAGTCAGGAGCCTTGCAGATAATTAATAGTTGTGCAGCAGAAAAGTATCTTAGCTAGGTTACTCTCACTGCATATGAATTCACCAAATATTAAACGAAAACGTGTTAATCAAACAAGTTAAGTCAGTAAAATGAATGCATTTTTTGCAACTGAAACAATTTATTTAGAGTAGACTAATTGGTCTTATATTTAAAAAAAAAACTATTATCACCACAAACGCAAAGTATTAGTGGAATTAGAACCCAATTGTAAATAACAGGAAAATTTACTTTGTATGCCTCAACTAAACGGAAGTCAATCTTGCCCACGATGTGATCCATTAGGATCCTGCGACTGCTGCCCGTGGACAGAAGGGCAAAGATATTCTTCTCGCGCTCCGTGCCCTCAGCCGCCTTGAACAGCAGCACCAGCAGCGTCAGCGCCTCACGCTTGATTTCTGCATTCTGATGTACATAAATGGTTAGCATCCCAATTATGAGATAAATAAATGCTAATCAGTTATATGAGATGTAATCATGTAAATGACCAATGAAGTGAATGAAACATAAAATATAAAAAAAATAGAAATTAAATGACATAGCAAAACCAAGTACGGAAATAAATCATACGTAACTCTGCCTCATCAATTTTGTTCTGGGGAAGAAAATTCAGATAAGAAAGCTTGTGATAATTGCTGATGTTGAACAAATTCTAAATCACATTGAGGTATACATTTTTTACATCAAATCTGCAAAACCAACAATTTACAAGCTACAGTAAAAGAAATTTGAATACAACAAGTTTCCTACCCAAAATGCCTAAATTATATGTATCCCTAAAAATTTTCAATAAAAAACTGCCAAGATACATATGAAGAAAACTTTAGAAATTACCATGAAACAGTTGGCAAGCGATGGCTCCTCAGCCTAACTTCTAATAACATCTAAAATTTGTAGCAAGGAACAGCCACTTGTGATGCAGTAGATTAGAGTTCCATTTTGTGTTCTAATTAGCAAAGTTATTTGCATTGAAGTAAACTATGCAACAAACATACGAGTCAATAAGAAATACAGCAATTGCAGCCTTCATTTGCAATAGGAAGTGTGAGAATAAATGAAATAAATGAGAATAAAATAGAAACAGAATGAAATAGATGTGAAGAAGTAATACAACACTACCTATAGGAAGTGTAGATTAGGACAGCACAGTAAAAATAATTCATAAAGAGCTAGTGATGGGAAATAATGAGAATAAATATACAGTGAACAAATGAAAAAGAATGGATAAGTAGCTTTGATGATGAAGACCTCAATGAGAATACAGCAGCTGCCAAGGTGTTCTCCCAGCTCCATAGTACCTGCCTGTGTAATAATCAATCAAGTGAAAAGCAAGTCAAACATGACAGCAGTCTTGAGGAGTCAACATACAAGTAATACAATACAATGCAGATAAATTCAAGACAATGACAAAAATGAGAAGAAAATGAAACAATAATGGAGTTTGGATGATGAGAGATGGCTAAATTTTGTTTGAGAAATGCAAGGTGATGCAGCTAAATGACGTGGTTGGACAACACAAGCCAGGTTTTAAACAACACAGAAAATATGATGATATAGACTCACTCATATCAGATATTGGCCAGTGTCAGATGATGCTATTGAGTGTAAATCAAGTTGGGTCAGAAGCATGACAATAGGAAATTTATGCACTTTTAAAAACAAAGAAAATTCAAAATTAATTCTCCAAACCATAATTGAAAACATTGCTCAATTTAATTAGCATACACTCACTTTTGTCATATGTTGGACAAGGCGTAAGATGTTGAGTTTGCTTGAGATAAGACTGGGCTTCAACTTGCACAAAGATATGGCAATGAGGAGGCACTCATGTAGCAGATCATCAGAGTACACATTAAGCTGACTTTCAATTGTCAGGGCAACCTGGAAAATATCAATAATGGCAAAATTCCCTCTCCACATATTCAAAATTAATTAGCTTCACAAACCCATTGAATTATTTGCTAGGGTAACAAGGCCTACCTCACACATTTCAACACAAATTTCAACAGTTCAGTCCTTTCCTTACTTAAGGACAATGCAATAAGTATTATTGGTCTTTGCTAACACACCATGAAACTTGTATATGAAAGAAGCTTCATCTTACATGGTCATAAAAAGGAGAAATATTTTCATACGTTTAATTACTTCCATTAACTCAGAAAAAGCAATTGGAGAAACTCACTTTTGAAGGAAGAACATCTCCGCAATTGCCCAGGCCTTTGTCTGAATTTTCAAGCGTGTTGCAGTATGCATGAAGGATGCTAATTAGCCGAGGGCTTTCAGCATCCCACTTAATTAGCTCCCGCTCTAGACATTGGAAGCTCTACAACAGAAAGAGTAGAAATAAAGTGCTGCAGAGCATGTATATTGTATAAATATAATAGATATGAGTTACATGCTGAAATGTGCTGAAGGTATGAGGTCAGAACTTTCAACAGGCACTCTCTGAGGATAGTGCTATAATACAGACACTTGAGCTATGATGCTTGGTGATTTTTTTATTTATTTTTTCTTTAAATTGAAAAAATAAAACATCAATGATTTTACTTTATTTTTATGATTTTATTTATTTATTTGATTTTTGCATTTTTTCATCTTTTTTGACTTTTTGAAATGTATTTTTTATATTGCAATTAGCCTACTAACAATAACAGTATATGGATGGCTAAAAAGGGCACTTATTGCCTTCAACAGGCCAAGGTGGTGTACCGATACAACTTTGGGACTTTGGGGTAAACAATTATTGATAAGTCTATTCATTAGCCTTGTAAAGTTTGTATGGAGCATAGTAAGGAGCTAAATATTGACCATTTAACTGGCTTCAATATACAACAACACTTCAGGAATGCAGATCTTCTAAACATTGAAGAGTCACATAACAGATTAGGTACCTGATAGCACAGTCAACAGTGCACAGCATTATCAATGGATCTACTAGTTTTATGTCCTATAAATTTACCAGACTCTACCCTCTAAACACACTGACTAGTAGTGACTGAGTGACTGACTGCACTGTTCCCATTTGATTCAGACCAATAAACCAATACTAAACATAAACTGAACAATAACCAATCAAACCACAAACGACTTGAAATGAGACTTATGTTATGAGAAACGCTAACACTGTTTGAAATAAAAATGTACACAATTCAAACATTTTATTTCCATTCACTGCATTTAATTCTTTTATATATAATTTTATAGTTGTAATTGTTTTGTTTCTAGTTATAGATTCACTTATCTAAGATTGAAATTAAATATTCTAATTAGAATACTATTAGTATTGACCCTTTACCGCCCGAATTTCTTTGTCAAAAATTGCAAATTTCACTTTTCCGGTTTTTAGTCTCACCTTAAAGCTGACACTCTGACCTATCAAACGGTACCAAAATTATCTCTGAACGTTGATTTATGCCTTGACAACAGTTTGCAAAAGGCTTAGGGGTGGGGGAGTTCTTTCACATTTAAGATGGGCAAAAATTACTGGCCGGGCACATAAATAGACAACCTGAAGACGCTGACTGATCTTTAGTTACCCGGCTGCTGTCATGTGGGATGGTGCTCATGCAGTTGTTCCCACCATCCTTGACTGAATTTCAGCTCCAGTAACATCTAGTCTTGCATCCATGCCACCTTGCATCCATGCCTATTTTGAGGCGCTCAGGACTTTGCCGGGCTCTACTGAACATTCACACTTATTGTCACTGCAAACCTATATCCGCCTTCCTAGAGTTTTTAAGCTACAGCAATAAGAGATATATTATTAGAAATCAAATGGATATTGGATATTGGAAATATAATTTCTTCAAAAAATGCCCACCCCACCCACAAAAATTAGAATTTTGAAAAACAGCAAGGACCAATAGATAGATATGGTCCTTACGCATCGAATGATAAACATCTCAATGTTGTAGCTTGAAAATCCTAGGAGGAGAGATTTCTACAGTAGCCCCTTTTTGAATGTTTTCTAAGAATTTCATGTTTTCTTTCATTTTTTGAAAAATTCACATGAACAAAAAAGTCTTAGATTAATCTTTTACATATGTGTACCAAGTTTCAACGTGATCCGTCTGTAAATAACCGAAATAAAATTTCCACAATAAATTGGAAATTTCCATTTTAAATTGGAAATTTTATTTCAGTTATTTACAGACAGATAACTTTAAAACTTGGTACACATATGTAAAAAAAAAAATCTACAACTTTTTTGTTAGTGTGAATTTTTCAAAAAATGAAAGAAAACATGAAATTATTAGAAAACCGGAGTTTTTTAAAGGCAACTTGAAAGTCCGATTTGGCGGTAAAGGGTTAATAATTAATATTGGGGTGAAAATCTTTCTAAATGCCTAAAAGGTCAATACAATCTCAATCAACCCTTCTCATATAAGCTAGCTAACACATGTAATTGTTTAATGTAGGTAATTAATATATAACAAATAGTCAAATAGTTAGTTAAAACTAAAGACTACTTATAGCCTAATAAGAATTACTAGCTAAGCTGCTAGCTATGTACAATGTATTGCAATACCTGATGCCTCTGTACAAGAAACATACAATTCATTGTAATGTAATACACACTAAAGGCAACAGGTTTATATTCCAATTTGTCATAGTACATTTATACTAAACCATGAATAACAATATCTCAAAATAAATGAAAGACTGCCACTCAATGTATTTAAATGTATAAAAAAAATAATAAAAAAGATAAATAAAATCATGATTTTTATAAAAAAATCAAATAATTTAATAAGTTTGATTTAATCATTGCCAACCCTGCTTGAAACAGCACTATATGCGAGGCTAGTGCTGTAATACAGGGATAAATGCATTAGGTCAGTGATTGAAACAGAAATTGTAAGTAAATTAAACCCTTGAATTTGATAAATCAGGTACAAATTTACTCATTGCAACATATGATATGCTTCTCAATTTAGCTACCATCTTCAATAGTAGCTAAATAGTATCAATGTTTAAAATATTGGTTGATAGTCTTTATTAAGTAAAAGCATCATGTATTACAGCCATTTACTGAAATCCAATGAATGTACTACTACAGACATTTTAAGAACAAAAATCTCCATTAGAAGATTTTTTTTAATTAAATCATAATAATTTTAATAAAATAAGACATATTAGTGAAAAATAAAACTTACCACATTTTCCAAAAAATACTGAGCAAAAAATGGGTCTTTAGAAAATGCAGCTATTTTGACAAGAGCCTCAGCCTCTGCCTCACTTTGATCTTCATTAAGTTGGGAAGTCATGATTCTGCCAAATTCTTCACAAATCCATTTTGGTGACCTAGATATATGCAGAATATCCAGAGGCTGTACAACCAAATAAAAAATAATTGTTACTCTGGAAAATAACATCATAAAGCTAACAACTGACAAACCATTCATACATATCTATTTTCCAGATATATTGTTTAGGCTACAGTTGTAGCCTTGGTACAACCATTGAACTAGGTTAGTAATGAGGTCATCTAAATACCTAACTGAAAATATTACATTGGAATTCATCAAGTAAATAACCAGCTCACAACGTCATGATTTATCCACTACCAATGAATGATAAGTGGTCTCAAAGATAGGTAGTATGAGAGAAGTGCAATTAACATTCCAGTCCAGAAAGTTAAAAGCAAAGATGATACCAGTGAAGAAAAGAAAAAAAGATTATACTTGCACAAAAGATATAAGTACATATCATGAGATAATGTCTACAGCATCCAGAGAAGGATCTTGTATTTTGACTATTCTGTTATACAGTGCACAGGAAATGGATATCAACATCAGACAAATATTACCTCAAAAACAAAATGATGACAAAATTTATAGCTAGTAAAAGAAACAGTACATAAAGAATACTAAGTTATCACACATGGTATGACAGACAAATGCTGAAACAGTGGAACTTATCCTAGACATTATTATAAATTCAAGTCAATACAGTTATGAAGTCTGCACTTACCTTTAAATTCTTGTAGTTGTGTTCATCAACAAACATACAAGGAAATTCAGCAAACCTCATCATGTAGTTTTCCTGGAGCTTCTCTTTTATCTCAAAATGCTTGAATATATCCTAAAGGAAAGAAAATAGTCATTATAAGGGTATTTTTAACAGACAAATAATTTCACAAAATAGCTCCATATTCATTACAACATGTGTCAACCAAATATATATATATACACACAAGTTAAAAAATTGGCAATAGTGGAGCTACCATTCAACATTCATCATAAATGGCAAATAGTACCTATCAGATCAAAACGCACCTTCATGATTTCTTGCCATGAAGGGACAGGATCATATTTTTGTTGGAAGTTATCACGAACACAAGAGAGTTCCCAAGTGACTGTTACTGCAAAGACTGGCCCACTGGTACTTTTAATGCGTTCTGCCATCTCTCTTTCACTGGTATGAATGTTTCAACATTTACTAATGAAAATGCAGTGAGAGTAACATAATGCTTTAGAATGCAATCATACAAAAATTAAAACTCTGAAAGCCTTGAAAGAAAGTATGAAAAATTAGAAGATAAATTTACTTGCAAGTATTTTCGAAAATTTTGCATATTGAAGGAGTAATTTGCAGTTGAAAATCTTTCAATATGGTTGTTTTGCTACAAAAATTTGATGGAATTGAAATTCAACATTCAACTGTAAAGAAACTACCAACAAACGGGATAATAAGGGACGGTTTGGAGTTTTTCCTTAATAACTTATTCCCATGAAATATTTCAAGAACAAGTTTGTCCTCATTTTAAAGGTATTTGCAAGGGTTATCTTATGGCATCTCTGAAAAAATTCCATATGCTATTCGTAAGGTGACAGACGCAAAATAAAAGTCTCCTGAACTAACCCTGGGAATGGGGTAATATAGGACAATCAAATAACTCAGTTTGGTGAAAGTCAGGTATAGGTATTTAAAATAAATAAATAAAAAAATCACCAAACCTGGTTCCATCTTTTGCTTCTCTCTCAAGCTTTTCAGTTAATGCCACCAGTGCAAAAGAATGTCAACAATATCACCATCAAAAATATGCATGATATCACAATGAAAAATATGCACAATGCCACAATTAAATCTAAATCAATCAATAAAAATTAAATTAAATTAAATCAATCAATTATGCACAATCATATTGATTGTGCATAATTAAATTCTTAATTATGCACAATCAATATCACCACAGGGGAGTTGGGAGCTTGCTGTCAACAAATGCCCCACCACGCCCTGTTTGACTTCGGCTGGACCCCACCAGCTGCGGCCGCTGCTAGCATCTTTGATTGCCAAAGGCACTCTTCTCGCCTAACTTCCTGTTGACTCTTCACTGCATTTTTTGATCTCCTCTCATTGACTTCACACGTATTGATGAGCAGAGTGGAACTATGTTGATAAGTTATATTGTTTTTTTTTTGTTGACAGTGCAATTACCACAGTTTACAACCATTTTTCATGAACTACGTTTATAGCCTTTGGGATGTCTAGATGACAATTTTACCTTTGTTCCTATGATACTCATTTTTACTGGCTACAGCTGTAGAATTAATTTAAATTAAAAAAGTATTAAATGAAAATTTTATATTAAAAATAATATTTTTTAAAATTATATTTAATACACCCCATGGTACATGCCTAAGTGCTCAATGATTTATTCAATGCAATAATTGCTGCTTCTTAAGAATGAACAATTTCTGAAAAGACATGAGACGGTAGAAAACTCATGATGGGAGACAATATCATTCAGAATCTGAAGTGATGTTATTTATACAATATCAACAGAATAGGGAAAACAGGAAAAAATTCATATCTGGACACTGTAGAGGAAATTCATCTGATATGGCAACAGCCCCACGTCATCATAGCTAATTACTAGCCGCAGGTCTCCGCTGTTGTTCATTGTCTCTTCAGAACTCGTGGGGGGTGGTCGGCGCTCTGATAGTCTTCCGCCTTCGGAAAGTCAGACTTGCGATTCCTGTTAGTTTACCTGCCTTGAGCAGCATTGACCATATCTGCAGTTAGACAGTCACACTGTACGGTCAAATATTTAGTCTCTCGTAATCGCTCGGCTCCTCTTATCATGCCTTCCATGTAAACCCGAATGTTCCAGACCGGCGATTGTTGACCCATGCCTTCTGTAACAGATAGACCCACTGACTGGCCACCAGAGGGCTACTCATCCACTAGTACACGTACCGGCTCCAGTCTCTGCTCGAACCCCTGACCCTGTTCTACGCCTACCGGTCTTCCAGCGCCTATTCAGCTTCGTCATCCTCCTACCTGGAGCTCTGGCTCTGGAGTTATCTGACCTACTTCACAGAGTCTGACCTGCACTTGGGGTTTCTTTGACCGGGTGGTAAAATCAATTTTATTTTTTGGTAAAATAACTCCAAATAACTCCAGGTTGTGGTGCATTGTAGTAGAACTCTTCTAGTTACATATGCAAAAGACAAATTTTATGAAAGTGTCATAGTTTGCAAATGGGGGGCGCCACCCCCAAATGGGTGAAATGTGACCATCTAATGGCAGCCGTGATGGGGTAACATTGACCGGTTTGTAAATTAAGTTAAAATGACCATATATAAGACTCTGTAGAGTATGAAACATAAAGAAAAAAACATTAATAGGTGTATCAAACATAAAATATGTTATATAGGTACCTATGGTAATTTTAACTTAATTTCCAAGCCGGTCAATGTTACCCCGTGACGGCTGCCATTAGGTGGTCAAAGTTACCCCATTGGGGGGTGGCACCCCCCATTTGCAAACTATGACACTTTTCTAAAATTTATCTTTTGCATATGTAACTAGAAGAGTTCTACTACACTGCATCAAAACCTGGAGTTATTTTACCAAAAAATAAAAAAAATTGGAGGGGGTACAGCAAGGTGAAATTCTAGGGGGTTTTAAATGACCAATGGAACGGCCATTGCTTAGCCAATCACAGCCTGGATAACATGACATCATGATCCCATAACCAGTCATAACCTGGATAGCATGATATCATGATCCTATCAGCCAATCACAGTCATGTGAGGATGACATCATGATCCTATTGACCAATCACAGTGTAGAAAGTATGACCCTTTCAACCAATCACAGATGGGAGATGACATGACTCCGCCCACTCACAGATGGGAGATGACATGACCCCGCCCACAAGTACCTATGAGCACTATATGTTAGAATTCTGCCATGGGGTACACCGACAGGCTTTAAATAATAGCTCTTTTTCGTGGGTCACATTTTTAATTTTTTAACCTATTAGATATGCAAACTTTTTAAATCTTTCTATTGTCTTACGTAGCCTCAGTATTAGGCCTTTGATGGCCATTGACAAAATTTTTCTATGTCAAATCGTTTTTGAGTTTTGGGGGTTTTTGTTTAAAAAACAAAAAGTGGTCAAAGTTACCCCGCCGGTCAAAGTAACCCCATTTTACGGTATTGTTTTATCAACTTGACATTACCAAAACAAGGTGTGTGAACCATCTTGGTGATCAGGTGATGGCCTCTTGCTAGCAAGCAAGCATGGAAAACATCTACCTTTAGGGCTGTGACTAGAGCTTTGCTGCCATTTCCAGGACCGCAAGATTTCTGCCAGATGAATTAGCTTCTATCTAATTGTTAACAAAAGTGCGCAATCAGGCCACGAGATTCCAAACATATTAAAAAATTTGTCATGTTGGAGCCGCGATATTTCAGAAACAAGTTGGAAAATTCCAATAGTGCTGGCATGAAACATATCTACTTGGTGAGCCACGACTGGATTTTTTGAGCAGTGCTTTTATGGATTTGCCAGCCGTGATTCCATTTTTTTGAGCCATGAATTCCATATCTTGGCCATCATTGGCCATGAAGAGCAATTTACAAGCTGCAAACTTATTTACAAAGACCTGGGCAAGTGTTATCCCAAATTTCTAATTTTGTCCCAAAAATAGTCAAACAGCAACAACCAACAATAACATTGGTTACTTCAGGTTTAGTGGCAACTGAACATGTGATAAGATAATGCAGTCAGACCACTCTGATGTGACCACAACTATGCGATCTTTAATGAAACATTTTGGGTTGACTCATAATCATTACATGCTGCAGGATATTTTGGCAGGAGCATTGAAGTTGAAGTACATTACCATAAAAGGGGGTTAATACTCCTGGGGTAACTTAGAACACTTTTGGTTTTTTTAACAAAAACCCCCAAAACTCAAAAATTATTTGACAAAGAAAAATTTTGTCAATAGGCATTAAAGGCCTAATACTGAGGCTATGTAACACAATAGAGAGATAAAAAAATTATGCATATCTAATAGGTTAAAAAATAAAAATGAAACCACAAAAAAGAGCTATTATTTAAATCCTGTCATAGAACCCCCTCCAATTTTTTATTTTTTCGTAAAATAATTTCAGGTTTTGGTGCATTGTAGTAGAACTCTTCTAGTTACTTATGCAAATGACAAATTTGAGGAAAGTGTCATAGTTTGCAAATGAGGGGCGCCGCCCCCGAATGGGGGAACTTAGACCACCTAATGTCAGCCCTGATGGGGTAACATAGACTGGCTTGGAAATTAATTTAAAATTACCATATATCATATATAACATATTTTATGTTTGATACACCTATTAATGTTTTTTCTTTATGTTTCAGACTCTACAGTGTCTTATATATGGTAATTTCAACTTAATTTCTAAGCCAGTCAATATTACCACATCACGGCGGATATTAGGTGGTCTAAATAACCTGGAGTTATTTTACCACAAAATATAATTGATTTTACCACCCAGTCTAAGATACTACCCCAAGAGCTGGAGTAACAAAGACCATCACTTTTTTTGAAATTACATCAAAACTACGAGAGGCAGGAGCCAGTAATTTATGGTAAGTGAACCTAGAGTATAGGCCTGTATTTTGCACATTTCAATTCAAGTTCAATTTAGCTAGCAAAAAAATGGCATGATTTAAAAATAAGATAGTCTAAGTTACCCTTTTTTACAGTATTGCGGATTGCGGAAGTTGAAATTTTACCAAGTGCAAACTGCAATTTTTTTAAATAAAATAAAAATACACGACTTTAGAGCTGCAAGATGTCATACCTACTGAAGTTATATGATAGTAGAGTATCGTAAAATGGGGTAACTTAGACTCCCGGGGTAACTTAGACCACTTTTCATTTTTTTAACAAAAACCCCCAAAACTCAAAAACTATTTGACATAGAAAAATTTTGTCAATGGGCATTAAAGGCCTAATACTGAGGCTATGTAACACAATAGAAAGATTTAAAAAGTTTGCATTTCTAATAGGTTAAAAAATTCAAAATGAGACCCACAAAAAATAGCTATTATTTGAAGCCTGTCAGAGTACACCCTCGAATTTTTTTAATTTTTGGCAAAATAACTCCAGGTTTTGATGCATTGTAGTAGAACTCTTCTAGTTACATATGCAAATGACAAATTTTAGGAAAGTGTTAGAGTTTGCAAATGGGGGGCGCCACCCCCCCCCCCA